AAAAAAAAAAAAAAAAAAAAAAAAAAAAAAAAAAAAAAAAAAAAAAAAAAAAAAAAAAAGGAAGAAGACAAAGCAGACCACTTACCGTCGCTGTCATAGGACCAGCGACATACCTGGGGAGCTGCGAAGAAGCGGAGAAGGCCTTGTGAAGAGACTAGGAACAACGGCGATGGTCCCGCGAAGATGCGTCGGGGATCAGCTACGGCCGTGGGAGGCAGGCGATGGCGCGACCTGACCGGCGACGGCGACGACGATGAAATGGCAGGCGGAGTGGCAACACAGGGGACCCCTATCCTCAGGCTCACGCAGTTTGAAAGTTCGAACTCGAATTCGATTCCCATGAAAACGCGCGGGTCTTGGGGACATCCTCGTTGAATCTCTGTCGTAGATGTTAAAAAATCTACAACTGAGATCTTGGGTCCAAGATTGAATTTCTTAAGGCCCCACTGCATGCCGAAAAAAAATTTCGACGTGCGGGGGGGCCTTAAAAAAATTAGGTGGTGCTGAATCCGGGTCCGCCGTCCCCAGAACTGTCCCCCAAACACACCGCGCCGGGGCCGCACGGGGCCCGTACGGAGGACCCGCACGGTCGTCCTACCATGCAACGATCTGTGCGTGCAGGGAGTACCCGTACGCATGGACATGAAGCCTAACTCTATAAAACAGTTTTAAGGTTAGCAATGAAATCTTTGTCAAAAAATGTATGTTATGTAAAATAATAGCACAAACAACTTTTGTATCGGAAACATCTTCAAGTTCTTAGTAAAAACTTACTAAAAAGCAAGTTAACCATAAAAAACCGAAATAATAATAATTTTTTTTTTTTAAATATTAAAAAAAAAGGAAGTTTGTCCACATATGGGAGAATATGTTATGACGAACGTATTTGCAAACAAGATAACACGTTCGCGTGTTCGTCAAACCCTCGAACATGTTTGTCATGATACATAACTTATAAGACTATACACATGATCTTTTGAGATAATGAAATATATGTATATTTTAATTTTTAAATATACAATGCTTCGCCTAACAATGATTTATTGTAAAAAAATTGATTTTTTCGTCGCCACTTCCAGTGGTTCTCAAAAATTATTTTTCTATTTTTTTTTGAGTTCTTTTAAATTTGCAAAGAATCTTGCCCATACAGAAGGGATAAAAACCATACGCTCTGAATCGTAGATAAATTTCGTTCAAATCTAGGCTACCAGCTGGGCCGCCCGGGTCCCGAGTGGCCAGCCCATGCAAGGAGGTCCCAAAAAATAAAAATAAAAAAAAATCCAAACACTCCGAAAAACGAATATGTTATGCAGAAAAATAAACGGAACAACTTTACCTCAGGGTCACATCAAAATTCTTCACCAAAATTAAAATAAAAATTAAAAATTAAAAATATTATTTTTATTTTTATTTTTTTGGCCCGTCCGGGCAAGTGACCCTGGGCCACTCTGGTAGCCTAGGTTCAAACGCAATTTTTTTTTTATTTTTTTTTGGGTTTTCACGAATCCTATGTTATGTACTTGATAAGACCCATATGCTTCCGGAGAGGCTCAC